TTTTTGTGTGTGTGTGTATGTCACAAATATTGATATGCCTGGTTGTTTATTTTTGTTTTCTATTATGCCTTTTTCAAAATATAAAAATAAACCTGTAATTTCTAACTAAAATTTTGTAGTCCTAGTCTGAATTTAAAGTGATAGAAAGGACTGATGTACTCTTTAGCTTATACAGTATAGGCATACAGGCTATCAGAATCAAAAGAGCTGGAGGTAAGTTAAGCCTGAGGTCCACTTTAAAGCGAAAAGCTAATTTAATACTCTTCCAGAGTCAATCAGTGCTGATTAATTTTTCTTTAATTATTCAACTTTTAGATGTGTGGATACTAAAAACAAAAAATCAGCTCTGCATGCCTTTTTTTTTTTTTGAGATTGTCTTGCTCTCACCCAGGCCGGAGTGCAGTGGCACAATCACAGCTCACTGCACTGTCAACCTCCTGGGCTCAATGGATCCTCCCACCTCAGCCTCCCAAGTAGCTGGGACTACAACTGCGCCCCACCACACCCAGCTAATTTTTAAATTTTTTTGTAGAGATGAGGTCTTGTCGTGTTGCCCAGGCTGGTCTTGAACTCCTGGGTTCAAGCAATCTTGGCCTCCCAAAGTGCTGGGATTACAGGTGTGAGCCCCTTGCACCTAGCCTGAATGTCTGTGTTTTCTACTTACACTAGAAGAGGTGTGTGATATTTGCAAATTTATTACCAGCATAGTAGTGATACGTTTGTGAAGACCATTCTGGAGTAATTGAGATGCTGCCTGGTTTTCCTAGCATTTTTCTTATTTCTTTCTCCATGTGACTTTACCAGTCTGACCCCTGATTTATCCTCTGAAACCCTCAGTGAAGTCAGGAACATAGTCTGAGGATTTCTTGACATGCAAAATCTATAATAGAGTTGAGATTTTAATAAGACTGTAATTAGTGTATTGTGGGATTTCTTCACATATCTATAAAACACATGAATTTACATAAAAAGTTTATCCCACAATTTGGGGAATCCACTAATTGAGTTTACTGAAAAATTATGCATTAGACCCTTGAACAACATAAGTTTGAAGTGCACAGGTATACGCAATTTTTTATTTTATTTATTTTTTTTGAGATAAGACTCTCATTGTCACCAGGCTAGAGTGCAGTGGTATGATCTCAGCTCACTGCAACCTCTGCCTCCTGGGTTCAAGCAATTCTGCCTCAGCTTCCTGAGTAGCTGGGATTATAGGTGCACACCATCTTGTCTGGCTAATAGAGACAGGATTTCACCATGTTGGCCAGGATGGTCTCGATTTCTTGACCTCGTGATCCACGCACCTTGGCCTCCCAAAGTGCTGGGGTTACAGGAGTGAGCCACTGTGTAGGGCCACAATTGTTTTTTTTTTCAATAAATATACTGGAAATTTGTTTGGAGCTTTGTGACAACTTGAAAAATTCACTGGCCAGGCATAGTGGCTCATGCCTGTAATCCCAGCACTTTGGGAGGCCAAGGCGGGTGGGTGATCACCTTAGGTTGGGAGTTCGAGACCAGCCTGACCAACATGGAGAAACCCTGTCTCTAGGAAAATTACAAAATTAGCCGGGAATGGTGGCACATGCCTGTAATCCCAGCTACTTGGGAGGCTGAGGCAGGAGAATTGCTTGAACCCAGGAGGTGGAGGTTGCAATGAGCTGAGGTGGTGCTATTGCACTCCAGCCTGGGCAACAAGAGCAAAACTCTGTCTCAAAAACAAAAAAAAGAAAAGTTCATAGATGAACTGTGTGGCCTACAGATATCTTGAATGCAAAAGATATATGTAGATACTGGTCTATCATTTACTACTCCAAAATACACAAATCTATTAAGAGTTAAATTTTATGAAAACATAGACTGTACCTGTAAGCAAATTTAAAATGCAATATTAAATTATAAGTCCATAGCTGCCACTGTCTGGCCACAGACCCGCGCTCTTCACTGTCGCTCACCATCTTGCACAGAGTGGCCCCGGTTCTGGGGTTTGGTGCCAGAATTAAACAACCATCATGTCGAGCAAAAAGGCATAGACCAAGACCACCAAGAAGCGCCCTCAGTGCGCGACATCCAATGTGTTTACCGTGTTTGACCAGTCACAGATTCAGGAGTTCAAAGAGGCCTTCACGACTGATCAGAACAGAGATGGTTTCATCAACAAGGAAGATTTACATGATATGTTAGATTACTTCTCTAGGGATGAATCCCACTGATGCATACCTTGATGCCATGATGAATGAGGCACCAGGCCCATTAATTTCACCATGTTCCTCACCATGTTTGGTGAGAAGTTAAATGGCACAGATCCTGAAGATGTCATCAGAAATGCTTTCGCTTGCTTTGATGAAGAACAGGCACCATTCAGGAAGATTACCTGAGAGAGCTGCTGATAACCATGGGGGATCAGTTTACAGATGAGGAGGTGGATGAGTTGTACAGAGAAGCACCTATTGACAAAAAGGGGAATTTCAATTACATTGAGTTCACAAGCATCCTTGCTTGTGAAGAAACATGGAATAAAAGACAAAGATGACCGAAAAGAACTTTAGCTAAAACCTTCCAATTACATTGTCTTACTCTGTTTTATTTCTCACACACTTCCCCCACCTTCATAGAACCTGTTGCATGCAACTTAGTTTCACGGTTTTGCCTCTTTTTTTTTTTAATGTATTTATTCCAGACCTTTCTGCCACTTAGCACTTGTATAATCAGACTGGAAATGGGGATGAGGGCATAAATTGTATTGAAAAAGAGATCGCCAATAAAAATGCCTCCCCCAAATAACTCTATAAACTAGTAAGTACTGTACTACTGCAATTTTGTAACTGCCTCCTGTTTTAGTAAGTGTTGCCAGTATCTGCTTAAAACTCTGTGATGCTAATCATCAGAGCAGTTCCTCTCTTCAGTAAACTGTGTATTACAATAAAACGTGATCTCTTGAGGTTCTTGAGTGTTTTCACCATATTCAGTGCAATACCATAAGCCTTGAATAACATCAGGGGACCAGTACAAAGTGCCACTAGTGATGCTGGAAGTGCTCTCAAGAAGCAGAGAAAAGTCATGACATTACAAGAAAAAGTTGAATTGCTTGTTATGTACTATAGATCTGCAGCTGTGGTTGCCTACCATTTCAAGATAAATGAATCCATTGTAAGGCCCATTGTAAAATTTTTTTTTTTTTTGAGACGGAGTCTCGCTCTGTCGCCCAGGCTGGAGTGCAGGGGCCGGATCTCAGCTCACTGCAAGCTCCGCCTCCCCGGTTTACGCCATTCTCCTGCCTCAGCCACCCGAGTAGCTGGGACTACAGACGCCTGCCACCTCGCCCGGCTAGTTTTTTGTATTTTTTAGTAGAGACGGGGTTTCACCGGGTTAGCCAGGATGGTCTCGATCTCCTGACCTCGTGATCCGCCCGACTCGGCCTCCCAAAGTGCTGGGATTACAGGCTTGAGCCACTGCGTCCGGCCGGCCCATTGTAAAATTTTAAAAAATTGTGCAACCATGACCACAGCTACACCAGCAGGCACAAAAACCTTGCGCTTTTTGTGAAATACCTTTTTTATAGTTTATTTTTATTTTTTAATTTTTGTAGAGATGAGGTCTCCCGATTTTGCCTAGGCTGGTCTCAAACTACTAGGCTCAAGCAATACTCCTATCTTGGCCTCCCAAAGTGCTGGGATTACAGGCGTGAGCCGCCATGCCCGGCCCTGAAATATCTTTTTATCTCATATTGAAAATGCAGCTTTTGGCCGGGCGCAGTGACTCACAGCTGTAATCCAGTATTTTGGGAGTGGGCAGATCACCTGAGGTCAGGAGTTTGAGACCAGCCTGGTCAACATGGTGAAACCACTTTACTGAAAATGCCAGTAAAGGATGGTTTGATAAATTTGAAAAGATTTGATTTACAATATGTCAATATAACAGAAGCAGCAGCTTCTGCTGACCAAGAGGGAGCAAATGAGTTCCTAGACACCATTAAGGAAATGATTGAGAAGAAAGGGTATCTGCCTGAACAGGTTTTTGGTGCATATGCAAGTGCCCTATTCCGGAAAAACAAATGTCACAAAGGACATTTATCAGTAAGGAAGAGAAGCAAGCACCAGGATTTAAGTCAGGAAGGGATAGGCTAATATTTTGTGCAAATGCAGTTGGGTTTATGATCAGCACTGCCCTCATCTATGCAGCTGCTAACCCTCAAGCCTTGAAGGGAAAAGATAAACACCAGCCACCTGTCTTTCGGTTGTACAAGAAGACCTGGACAATAATCCTTTTTCTGGATTGGTTCCCTCTCTGCTTTGTCCCTGATGTCAGGAAGTACCTTGCCAGTAAGAGACTGCCTTCTGTTATTTTATTTTATTTTTTTTAGACGGGGTTTCATTCTGTCGCCCAGGCTGAAGTTTAGTGGCCTGATCTGGGCTCACTGCAGCCTCCGCCTCCCGGGTTGAAGTGATTCTCCTGCCTCAGCCTCCCGAGTAGCTGGAATTACAGGCGCTCGACAACACGCCAGGCTAATTTTTGTATTTTCAGTAGAAACGGGGTTTCTCCAGGTTAGTCAGGCTGATCTCGAACTCCTGACCTCAGGTGATCTGGCCTCAGCCTCCCAAAGTGCTGGGATTACAAGTGTGAGCCACCGCACCCAGCCTGCCTCGAAAATTTAACCACAGAATTGACAGTTCAAGCAAACGCAGAGAATAAAAGTATTTAGCAAATTACTTTACAAACTTTTGGAACAAAACTTAACTGATTTACTTGACTTTACATAGCACGGACACCAAGTCAAAGAACAAAAACTATTTCAGGGTAAGCGGAGCCGGGAACAGACTTGGCACTGCGTCCTCGCGGTCCACTCGGCTCAGGATTGGCTGAAACTGGGCTGGCACTGATGGGCCCGGCGCGGCACGCGCAAGGGTGGGGGCGTCCCAGGAGGCTGTGGGTCGGAGCAAGGCGGGCCGAGCCCGGGCGTCCTCCCGCCCACCGACTAGCCAAGGCTAGGCCGGCACCACGCGGCTCGGGCTGCAGTGCGTGCTTGGGCGGGGGCGACCCGGGAAGCTTCGGGTGGAGCGAGGCGGAGCGAGCGCTGGCATCCTCCCGCCCACGAGGCTAAGGAATGGCCGAGTTTCGGAAAGAACCTGCCTGCTCCGGCTGCTGCGCGTGCTTGGGCGGGGGCGAGTCGGGAGACTTTAAGGAGGATTGAGGGGAGGCGGGGCCGGGAGTTCTCCCGCCCACCGGGCTCAGGATTGGCCGAAGCTAGGCAGGCACCGCCCCGCTTGGGCGGCAGCTCCCGTCCGCCCGGGGGCGTCCCCAGAGGCGCGTGGGGCGGGCGGGGCTGCGTTGGGGCTGTGTCTGGGCTTAGGGCGGGGGCCTGGGATGCTGCCGCGGAGCTGACTTGCTGGACTTGGTTTGTGGCAGACGGATGGCGAACGTGCGGGTCGCCGTGCGGGTCCGGCCGCTCAGCAAGAGGTGAGTTTGGGCGGGAGGGGGCGCCTGAGGCTTCGCAGCAGCTGAGAAGAGCTGGAGGTCAGCGTCTCCCGCTCCAGAGATTCTGGCGCGCGGAAACCGGTGACAAAGTGACCCGGGGGGTCGGGGTCCGGAACCCACGGAGGCCTGTCCGGACGGGACCTCAGTCGAGCTTTCGCGTTGTGTCCTGGGGATAGCGGTTCTCGGACGGCCGCGGGAGGGCTGCCCTGGGTGAGCGTCGCTGGCGTCCTGCCAGCAGGAGTTTCGAGGGACGGCGGCTCGAGGCTCGCGGCGTCGGGTTGGGCCTTTGAGAAAGGCTGGGAGAGGGATGAGCATTCTCCTCTCTCCTTTGGGGGGCTTGGGTGTACCCATGAGGACTGAGGCTGAGTGTTGTGTGTTCCTGGGTGCGCATGGGTTTCTCTGCGAAGATGTGGAGAAAGCAGAAGGTGAGGGCGTGAGGGGGAAATTGAGGCCCACCAGGTCGCGGTTTCTTTCTATGTTTGACAGCTGACTTAATCCAGGACGGAACTGTTAAGTAGGGGAAGTTGTTCCAACCCCTTCCTTCTGTCAGAGCCCTCAGTGCCCGTTTCCTCGTGGCTTATTTTGATCCCGCACCTCTCATCTCAGCCCTTGAGACATCCAGTGTGCAGCCACGAACTTTTTTCTCTTTGTCACCAGATGAAGTGTTTTTTAAAGATCAAGTAGAGTTTGTTGACAGGTGGAGAGAGTGTAAAGAGCCTTCTATGTAGTAAGACCGCCAAGAGCAAAGGACTTAGACTGTGAAGGACTAACTAGAGGTTAAGTTTTGGTGGGGAAGGGGTGGTTGGTGTGGAGAGGAGTGAGTGGTGGGAGGTAAATCTGGCAGAGTGTCCTTTGGGGACCAGAAGGCACATGTTGGAATTATTTGGCAAGTTTAAAAATCTCTAGGACGTAAGATAGTTTGATAATTGGGCAGAAGGATTAAGAAAGGCATTGTCTCCCATAATAAAATTTCGTACTAGTGAGGATTATGTTCGTCCTCATATGGAAATGATTGTCTTTGAAAAGTCTTGGAATTGACAGACTAATGAGAAGAGCAATGAAATGGAAAGAAAGAGAGAATAGGAAGAGGGCAAAAGAGGTACACTGAAGAAAGAGGGAAAGCAGATGCCTGAACTGCTGCCTTTTGATTGGTAAATGGCTTGGGACACCTGGCTTCTTCGTAACTGGATGTGGTAGCTCAGGGCTGGGGGATTTTTCATATGTGCAGATGCTACTCTGGAGGTAGCCTTTGGTATATTCTGTATTTGTAAAACTGTTCTTTTAGGGTTTTCAAGATAACAATATTGACCACTCCTAACAGTAACTTCTCAGTTCCTTGGACACTAGGAATTTATTTTTTAATTTTTATTTTATTTTATTTTTTTGAGACAGAGTCTGGCTCTGTTGCCCAGGCTAGAGTACAGTGGATGATCTCAACTCACTGCAAGCTCCGCCTCCCGCATTCCCGCCATTCTCCTGCCTCAGCCGCCTGAATAGCGGGGACTACAGGCGCCCGCCACCACACCCAGCTAATTTTTTGTATTTTTAGTAGAGATGGGGTTTCACCGTGTTAGGCAGGATGGTCTCAATCTCCTGACCTTGTGATCCGCCCACCTGAGGCCTCCCAAAGTGCTGAGATTACAGGTGTGAGCCACCGCGCCCAGCTGAACACTAGGAATTTATAATAGCATGAATTAGATTAAGAAAATGATGCTGAAATTGGTTTACTTGCAGCCGCAATAGAGAATAACGTATCAAACAAAACTGAAGTGAAAAAGAAAAGCACAATTTATTTACTTTAGCTCAAGTTAAGAGCCTTGAGCAGCAAGTGGTAGGATGTCAAGACTGTAGATACCCAGGTGTGAACAGATTGTAGCAGGCTGAAGATTCAGGAGCAGATACAGATAAACCCAGTGTGGCCCTAGCCAAGAGGTCCGGATCACTTCCCTCTTCTCACAGAATCCTGCAGAGATGGCAGCTATTCTTCAGAGTGTGTTATACGGTCTTCATTGAGGCTTATCTGAATGTGGGGAATCTGGTGATTATATGGTTTGTTCCAACCTTCAAATAAGTCATTGGCACACACTCAGTTGACAAAGTCATTGGATCTGATGTGCTTGGGAAGAAATCTTACAGACAATCTGGCCCAAGCTTCTATTTTTTATTTTTCCAGATGACAGAATGGTTTGGCTTAAGTTCTAAAAGTAGTTAGAGCCAAGATTTGATTCATTAGACCTACTGCTCTTTCTGAGATTACAGAAAAGTTGCACTTGTGTCTCAAGTGCGCATTTATTCAGTAGGACTAGAGTTGACCCTCAATTTTTTCTTTTCTTTTTTTTTTTTTGGTGATGGAGTCTCACTCTGTCACCCAGGCTGGAGTGCAGTGGCATGATCTCAGCTCACTGGAACCTCCGCCTCCTGGGTTCAAGCGATTCTCCTGTCCCAGTCTCCTGAGTAACTGGGATCACAGGCGTCTGCCACCATGCCTAGCTAATTTTTGTATTTTTAGTAGAGGGTTTCACCATGTTGGCCAGGCTGGTCTCGAACTCCTGACCTCAGGTGATACGCCCGCTACGGCCTCCCAAAGTGCTAAGATTACAGGCATGAGCCACCACACCCAACCTGACCCTCAATAAAATGATACTGCTGTATAGGAAATGGTTTTGATGTCCTCCTCTCTACCTCACAGTTTCCCATAATCAGAAATTCCATACCTCATTATGAAATTGCTGCCCCTTGTCTACCCCCAATTAACCATTGTGAGAACACATCTGATCTGCCAATACTGTAGGCTCTAGAAGACTATTTGCCCTTCAAAACTTACTCTTAACCCACTGTATAGCTTTTTTTAAAAAAAGTTTTTTGAAGAATATGTAAAATGAGATTTGGAGTTTAATTAAAATCAGAACAGGGATACATTAAACAAACAAAAGATACTTTTCTAATTATCAATTTTTGAGACTCAAAGCATCCCCAAAACATTGGCAATCCAGCTTATTCCTGAGAGACAGCCATCACAAAAGGTTTTCACTCTGAACTATTCACATTTTTGTAGCAGAAAACAGAACAAGGTTCTGCAGACATCCTCTCTTCTAAAATGTGTTCACAAACAGGGTCTTTTCATAGTTCAAAAGGAAAACAAACAGGTTTCTTTTGTGGCCAAACAGCCTGTGACTCTTACCCTGGGATCTGATTTCTAAGAAAGTTCAGGACACCAAATCCAACCAGAAATTCCCAGGACACCAGTGGCTACTTAACTATGAGGGGATCGATGCTTTAGTCTTTCTATGAGGGGAGTCATTCTCCTGGGATTATTATGCGTGTCAATAGTCCCAGGAGAGGTAGGTGGGAAGCAGGGTGAATGCAAAAGCTAAAGGGTCAGAGAAAAGAATGAGTCTTTCACAAACAACCCATAACAAGGCAGAATGGTCCAGTTTTACAAACCACCCACTACGAGCTCCAAACATGCACACCCAAAACTGGAGGGGAAAGGAAAGAGCTCCTGAGAGATGAGGAGAGACAAAAGATGGTGACATAGAACAGCAGACTCGCCTATGAACATTTCTCACCTTCCTAACACTGGAAGATGTTTAATTAGAAAGTTGCTGTTCAAAATGGTACTGAAAACATATTTAAAAATAGGTCTGTAGTCATCTTAAAAATAAAAGGTCACTTCTCAGATAAGAGGAGTGACAGATATTCTCAGATGCTAACACTTGAGGTATCTTTGATGTAAATTTGAAAAATGGCCAGGTAGAGAAAAAGGAAGGAAAGGAAGGAGAGAGGAAGACAGAGAGGGAGGTAGGGAGGGAAATTCAGAGTATGATAGGAAAGGCAAGAAAACTGGGAGGAACACATTTTTTAAGCCCATGCTTATCTATCTCAGCAGCCAAACAAAGCAGATCCACAAAGGAAAAAAAATGCAGTTATTTTCTAAGAACATTCTGAAAATCGACTTCGAACTCAAAACATAAGGAACTGCAATCTGAGAACAACTATCACAATGCTAACTGGACTTAAAAATGACTACTGAGACTGGGTACTCAAATGGGTCAATGCTCTTCAGAGGTCATTCTTAGGCATTATCTGACACAATACTATGATCAGGCCTTACCCACCAAGTGGAGGCCGAAGTGCCTCTATTACTTGCTATGGACCTGCTCTAGGAGCCGACAAAATCACTTGGCTTTCTTGAAGTACAAGAGGATTCTGCCAGCAACAAGATGCAGGCAGGGAGGAATGGCAGAAGAAGAGCAAGACTGGTTACCAAGGGCTCTCTTCTGATGTACAGAGTTAAAAATGACTGCACAAATGTGCTAAGTAAAAGAATGGGAAGATGAACTGTAATACCAAAGACAGAAGACATTCCTCCCAGAGGAAAGAAGGGCAGTGGACCTCAAAACAGTGTCACAGGGTAATGCTACCAGAGTTGCACAAACTGTGCTCTGTCCCAAGGGACAAATACCTCAAGGTAAAAGGAAAAGCAGCTCTCTTTTTATCATTTCCCCCTGCTGGTTTTAAAGACCCACGTCCAGAATCTTGCAACACTGAACCATAGGTGGGATACAGGGAGGAGAGGCAAAGGGTAAGGAACATGAATGGTGTTAGGCCTACCAAGCCTCTGTATCCCTTCCCCAGACTTCCCCATTTCTTCCCAAGCACAAGAAGAAGCCAGGCAGTTGTAGGTTGATATTGTGTTTGGGACAAAATTGCAGGGTATGAGGGTGACTCAGTAAAGGAGAGCCTAGGAGGCCGGGCATGGTGGCTCATGCCTGTAATCCCAGCACTTTGGGAGGCCGAGGCAGGCGGATCACAAGGTCAGGAGTTCGAGACCAGCCTGGCCAATATGGTGAAACCCCGTCTCTGCTAGAAATACAAAAAGTTAGCCCGGTGTGGTGGCAGACACCTGTAGTCCCAGCTACTTGGAAGGCTGAGGCAGGAGAATTGCTTGAACCCGGGGAGGCAGAGGTTGCAGTGAGCCGAGACCATGCCACTGCACTCCAGCCTGGGCGACAGGGCAAGACCAAAGAAAACTAGGAAAGCCAGAGTTTAACTGTTTTCCTCTAATGGATGCTTAGCTCTACAGAAAATACACCAAGGACCTTCAATCTAACTTGTTTAACTGGGAAGGGGAACAGGGGACGGGGAGAAGAAATGGTCAGATGAAGCTTATCTTCCCATCATCTTTGGCACCCAGAGGAGGAGTGGGAGGTGGAGAATGTAATGGGGACTGTTGGTATTGCCTCTTCTGTCTTTTCACTGTTGATCCTATTGGCCAAATCAGGTGCATTCAGGTGTCCATGTTGCTGCTTTTCTTCTAATCCTTGCAGGAGAGTCACATGTTCATCTCCAACTGAGCACCACCCCCAACTGCATGTTTCCTGTCAGGGTTATTCAAATTACTTCTACTTTGGAGTCTTCAATTAAGGTGCCAGGGCTAGCGACTCCTGGGATATTGGGCAGATGGCAGGGTGGGGTCCTAGCCATGGGAGAACTGCGAAGATCCAACAGAAATTTTCTATCATAAATGATTAGTTCCTCCTGGTGTGGTGGAGAAGAGCGTCCCCTCGGGCATCGTGCTGTAGTCATGAGGTAGCTAATGGCCACGGTGTGGGTGGGGAAGGCGCGGCTCTGGCTGGGCGGGTGGCCGCTGCCGGCGGAGGAGGACATGGCTGTGGGCGCGGGCTCTGGGCTTTGTGTGGCGGGTAGGCGGCGGCGCCGGGCCGGTCTGCTCCGGCCCCTCGGGCCAGCGGAAAAGCGTGCTCTGCGCGCTCCTCGCTCGCTTCCTCTGGTTCCCTCGTCCCGCTACACCCCTGCCGCTCCATCTTCGGGCCTCAGCAGCAGCAGCGGCGGCGACGACGATGACAGGAAGCCTATATAACTTTTTTTGTTTTTGTTTAAGTCTGTAAAATAGGGATAACTACTTCAATGATTTTTATGAACATTTGATAAAACAATACAACAATTTTTATTCCTCAGACCCCTGTGCTTGGCTGTCTGGTTTTTAAAAGTTTTACAAGGGGTCAGGCACTGTTTCTTATGCCTGTAATCCCAGCACTTTGGGAGACTGAGGCAGGAGCATCGCCTGAACCCAGGAGTTCGATACCAATCTCTGTCAACAAAAAATAAAAATTAGCTGGGCATGGTGGCACGTGCTTGTAATCCTGGCTACTTGGGAAGTTGAGGTGGAAGAAATGCTTATGCCCAGGAGATTGAGGCTGCAGTGAGCTATGATTGCACCACTGCACTCTAGCCTGGGCAACAGAGTGAGATCCTGTCTCTAAATAAATCAATAAATAAAATTAAATCTAAAGACCCCTGTCTCACTGTGCTTCTCCTACCCCTAGTTCTCTAGGTCACAGCCTGGGAAACCTGAGGAAGGATAAAAAATAAGACTGAAGGTATTGTCTCAACTTTCAGGTTCTAGGCTAGGAGTAATTTAATTGATAACTTTCATTGTAGTGGAGGATGTACTAATTAATTTAATTCTCATCTGTTAACATTTTGGTCATGAGTACTTTAGCTGTGACTTTTTATATTATGAAAAAAGATAGGCATCAGGTGTGTGGGTCATCTGGCTTAAGCCCATTAAAGTGAGTGTAGAGATTATTTAGTTGTTAGCAGTATTACCACATAACTGCAACATAGGAAGATTCTTGAGGATCTTGGCCCTCCTAATTTAAGAAGATATAAGGAAAGGATTTGAGAAATATATTCTCAGGTCTCAGCAGAGAGGATTCCAATACTTTGTGTGTGTGTGTGTGTGTGTGTGTGTGTCAATATCCATGCTCAAAATGCTACGGAAAATGAGAGATGATGCTGTGTTACATGCTGGGCCAAGGATGGTCTCTGGAGTTTCTTTTGAGAGATGAGATCTTGCTCTGTCACTCAGGCTGGAGTGCAGTATCGTGATCATAGCTTGCTGCACCCTTGAACTCCCGGGCTCAAGCAATCCTCCTGCCTCTCAGTCTTGCAAGTAGTTGAGATTATATGTGCAAGCCACTGCTCCCTGCTCTCTCTAGGGTTTCTAAGCCTGACTTTAAGGTATAATTCAGAGCCTAGGCTTCGTGGTCAGACAAATATGAGTTTAAATCCTAGCTCTGCCACTGATAGCTGTGTGACCTTGGACAAGTTACATAATTTCTCTCAGTTTTAGTCCTCTGCCTGTAAAAATGATATGTTAGCAAACTATGTCAGGAGGGTATGTAGGAGGATAGCATAAGATGAAGAACAATATGTAGTGCACCTAATACAGTGCCTCACACATAGAAGGTACTAAATGTGAATGTGAGCTGTTCCAGAGCCAAATTGTAAAGATCCAGGGAAGCATACCAGCGAGGGGATTGCTTGATGCGACACTTATAGCCATTTATGGAGACAGACACTTCTCTTAAGGCTACAGTAGTAGGGAAATACTTTGTCCCACTAGCACTGGTTTCAGCTTCTTTTTTCTTGATTTAAAAAGAAAAGCAACATTTCTTCTGAGTTTGGGTCTTGTTTCTAGGGAGACCAAAGAAGGGGGAAGAATTATTGTGGAAGTTGATGGCAAAGTGGCGAAAGTCAGGAATTTAAAGGTAAGCCTGAAATTGTTTTTCATTTTCTTTCCATTGAGGAGCTAATATTGTTACAAGGGCTTCCAGGCTGAAGGTGTATATGTGAATGTGTTTAGAGTTGGGGAGGGAAGGGTATATAAGGGGAATAGTGGGAAGAGCTGTGCCAATCATAAAGCAAATTAAGAAATCAAGAAGGTGGCCATGCGCAGTGGCTCACACCTGTAATCCCAGAACTTTGGGAGGCCGAGGCGGGCGGATCACGAGGTCAGGAGATCGAGACCATCCTGGCTAACACGGTGAAACCCCGTCTCTACTAAAAATACAAAAAATTAGCCGGGCGAAGTGGCGCACGCCTGTAGTCCCAGCTACTCGGGAGGCTGAGGCAGGAGAATGGCATGAACCCAGGAGGCGGAGCTTGTAGTGAGCTGAGATCACGCCACTGAACTCCAGCCTGGGCAACAGAGCAAGACTGTGTCTCAAAATAAATAAAATAAATAAATAAAATCAAGAAAGAAGTGCAGGGCATTTGGCTGCTGCAGCCTAAGTTTTATCAGATAGGGTGCAACTGTTTGGGAAATTAGTTGGTAGATGTTTTGAAAGTAAACTCGGGATGTTTTGGGGGCAATAGTTAAATCATGCTGCAGGCAATCCATATTCTATTTAACTCACCTGACCACCAGTTAAACTTTGTGCTAATCTTTTCAGTTGGTACCACTTTATCTAGAGACATTATTAGGGATTTTAGTATGCACCTGGTAATGCAGGGTTTATTTGAGCTATACTGAGATCCAAGCAACATCTTTCAGATCCCAGAAGGGAGTCAGTCACTAACCTGGGTTTTGTTACAAATTCTCTTTCACAGATCTGACTGAACTTTGAGTCATGACTGGACAGACACTTGGAACTTCCTTCCATACCCCTCAGTCTCCCTTAGGGCTAATTTTCTCCATCCTGTTCCTCCATTTACTAGGCAAACAGAAGATGGAGAGGTTTCTTTCTTTCTGGGCCTTGAGGAGTGGAGAGAGACTGGGGAAGCTGACCATGTGACTATTGCTATAGTCAGCTTGCAGGTGGCACTCAGCATTCCTGAGAGCTGAGGAAACTGGCAAAAGTGAGAGTTACTTGGACCCCAGTCTTCACAGTCATGCCTGCTCTCTTGTTACTCCTGTGATGTGATTTGTTTCCTCTTGTCAGTAGTTCTCTGCTAAAAAACAATGGGGACCTACCAGACTTTCAACAGGGCTCCCCAGGGACAAAGGACCTTTTATTCTTTGCTGTCTCTTATTTATATCTCTGTTGCCTAACCACTTCAGCTGCTTTGTTCTAAGATCTCATGTTTTTGTTTCTAAGAATCAGTCAAACTTTAATCTGCCTTCTGCACACCTCCCTGGCTGCTTGCTTCCCTGAGGTCAGTTATCCATGTAGAATCTCTTAATCATTCTGGCAGCCTCATTCTTCTGTCGTTTGTGAAGGCTGGTGTCAGGGTTGTCTTTCCCCGTCCAGAGTGTATAAAATAAGGCATTTTTGTGAATAACGCCATTCTCTCCAGTACTTGGAGGTCAGTGCAAGGCCAAACTCTGGCTCTACTCTCATCTACCTTGAGCAGCTAGATTGCTTCTGGCTCTTCTGTCCAATGTGGTGTCTAATTGGAGGTTGAATATTCCAGGAATCTCAGTGAAAGCCCCAGGTTGATGGAGCCCATCAGGCACCATGGCCACACTACTCACACACTCCAGGATCCTCTGCAGAAATACTTAGAAAAGAATATAGGTTGAGCATCTTAATTTGAAAATTTGAAATCTGAAATCCTTCAAAATCTGAAGCTTTTTGAATGCTGACATGACGCCACGAGTGGAAAGTTTCACAGCTGGTTTCATGTGATGGGTTGCAGCCAAAACTGTTTTATGCACAAAATTATTTTATGCACAAAACTGTTTTATGCACAAAAATGTATAAATTTATCTTCAAGCTATGTTTATAAAGTGTATATGAAACATAAAAGGATTTCATGTTTAGACTTGGATTCATCCCCCAGATATCTCATTATGTATATATAAATATTCAGAAATCCAAAACGCTTCTGGTCCCGAGCATTTCAAAGAAGGGACATTCAACCTGTAGTGATAAGAAGATGCCCAGAGCGGGAGAGGCTTTCTCTCCCAAGCTTTACCATGTCTCATATAGTTGGTTCTTATGTAGGCAGATATATGATAGGATGACAGACAAATTTAGTTCTCTGTGTTTTATTTGTGTCTAATAAGATGGAGACAAAGTTTACCTTTTTCAGGAAGATAATAAACAGTCTCATGACCAGTCCAAGTCTCTCTAGCTATGGTAGAGGGTGATGAAGTGCCACTGGCCAAATTCTAATATTATGATAGAAAAGACACTGGATCCTATGTTTGATTTTAGGTGGACAGTCGACCAGATGGCTTTGGGGACTCCCGGGAGAAGGTTATGGCGTTTGGCTTTGATTACTGCTACTGGTCAGTCAACCCAGAGGATCCCCAGTATGCATCTCAAGATGTGGTAATATCATTTATCATTTTTCTTTCACTCTCTTCAGTTCTTTTTTTGTGTATAATGTTTAAGATGTTTATTATAAAGATACTTCTCAAGGTTATTATAGCACAGTTGTACAGATTGGAAGTACTCTAATTGGTACTTTAAGAAAGCGTCAAAATAACCAACAAATTTTCAAAAGGAAGAAACTTCAATACATCAAGAAATCAGTGGCCTTTTCAAGGAATCATTTTCATGGTAACATTAACAAAAGAAGCTTATTTCAAATGTAATCTTACTGTGTATTCCTCATTTCTTCATAACTGGATATTCATTGGGAAATTTACGTGAAATCTGAGTCCTGGCTATTTCTTATGATACTTTGGTCTGAAACTAATGATGTTTTGGTCTGAGAAATGGTAGTGAGAGTTATCACTTCCAGAAAGAACAAAGAAGGTGGGAAAAGACTGCTTGCCCAGGACATCAAAGTTGGTTAGTGTCCATTTAAGTTTGAGCCTCCTCATGATTCGGTGGGGTATATACCGAATTCGGTGGGGGGTATAAGTTAGTTCAGGTAGTGTCCTGCTCCTATGATAGGTGAATGGCTGTGTATTATGTGCAGCACAAGGGAATTATAGAGGCTAGTATCTTCTTTGAACCTTAAGCTTGTACTTGTCCTCCTAGGCAGAGTGGGAAAGGGCTAGACAGCTAATCAGCCAGCCTGCAAGGTAGGTAGGAGGCAGGTGAATCTATCAATCTGCTGTTTGAGCAGCCAAGGCTTTGCCACCTGAGCCTGTTGGTCACCTGTCATGTGTCCTGTGGTTCTGCTTAGCTCTCTTTCAAGTTTCCAGGGCAGCAGCAGGTCTGGCCAGTGGGTCTACAGGACCTCTCTGTTTCTCTGAAGCGGCAGTGTTGTTTGGGTTTGAGCACTGTTAAAAGCCTTGTACCCAGTCCACATCACGGCCAGTAAGCCTTGCCGCATTCACTTCGGTGGCCACAGACAGTAGCCCTTGCCCCAGCAGCTATCAGGGTGCTTTGCAAAAGTCTAAACCTAAAATTGGGAAAGCCATTTACTTGGCCTTTCATGGTTCGTTATCATCATATCACATATGAAAGAAAAGACTATGGGAATATATCCTTGGGAAATACTATTGGAAATAGAAATATTTTGGGGGGAACCCGGATAATCATTGCCTAGGATTCTATATAACTTTGAATAAAAAGCCAAAGTATGTTTTCTTTTTTTTTTTTTTTTTTTTGAGGCGGAGTTTCGCTCTGTCGCCCAGGCTGGAGTGCAGTGGCCGGATCTCAGCTCACTGCAAGCTCCGCCTCCCGGGTTCATGCCATTCTCCTGCCTCAGCCTCCCGAGTAGCTGGGACTACAGGCGCCCGCCACCTCGCCCGGCTAGATTTTTGTATTTTTTAGTAGAGACGGGGTTTCACCGGGTTAGCCAGGATGGTCTCGATCTCCTGACCTCGTGATCCGCCCGTCTCGGCCTCCCAAAGTGCTGGGATTACAGGCTTGAGCCACCGCGCCCGGCCCAAAGTATGTTTTCTGACAAGTATTTCAGTCTTTTGTAAAACTTTTTTTTGGGAGTGGTGGGTGGGGGAGATGATCTTGCTCTGTTGCCCAGGCTGGAATGCAGTGGCATAATCTCAGCTCACTTCAGCCTCTGCCTTCTGAGCTGAAAGTGATCTTCCCACGACAGCCTCCTGAGTAGCTGGGACTACAGGTGTGTGCCCCCATGCCCAGCTAATTTTTGTATTTTTTTGTAGAGACAGGTTTTCATCATGTTGCCCCGGCTGGTCTTGAACTCTTCGACTCAAGCAATTATCCCACCTCAGCCTCCCAAAGTGCTGGAATTATAGGCATGAATCACTACACCCAGCTATAAAGCTTTTAATAATTATGTCAAAGGAACAACATTATCAAGTCCGAGTGACTCAGAGGAGATAGTACTGATTTTCTGCTATTGTAGACTTCTGAAGATAATTGAATATTTCTAAATCACTGATTTAGATATTTCTAAATTTAAGTATTTCTAAATTACCCCATTCTTCCCTTCTGAAAGGAACACACAGAAATATGACCCTAGACCACTGTGGGATTTGCTGTCACGGTGGGCCTCTTCTGTTATATAAGCATCTCACCTTTGTAGTCCTAATGTGTTTGCCGTTAATGCTCAGTAGAAAAGGGCAGTGTGGACATTACCTGCCCTCCACTGAGTCTTCTCTGTCCTTTTGAATACGAGGACAGGGGCAGGTCTAGGCTTGTCTTGTGGCCCTTGATTTATGTATTTATTTTTATGTTTTTATTATTTTTTTTGGCGGGGGGGGATGGAGTTTTGCTCTTGTTGCCCAGCCTGGGGTGCAATGGCACCATCTCGGCTCACTGCAACTTCTGCCTTCTGGGTTCAAGCGATTCTCCTGCCTCAGCCTCCCAAGTAGCTGGGATTACAGGCATATGCCACCATGCCCAGCTAATTTTGTATTTTTAGTAGAGACGAGGTTTCTCCGTGTTGGTCAGGCTGGTCTTGAACTCCTGACCTCAGGTGATCCACCCACCTCAGCTTCCCAAAGTGCTAGGATTACAGGCATGAATCACCACGCCAGGCCAGCCCTTGATTTTATATCTCAGCACTCAAGTGTGTATGAGGCATCTGGTTACTAGTGTTTGTAACCATTCCCTTGAGCTCCTCCAAGAAGAGCCAGCAAAGTAACTGACTTTCAGTAAGAAAGATGGGACTCCTATAACAGTCCACAGTTGTGGCTAGATTTGTGGCATAGAAGACAGTGGCCTTTCCGTTAGCAGAGAGTATGAGCATTCTGATAGCTGTTTGAGACCTCCCTGGCCATGGCATATGTGTGGCTGTTCTGTATGTAAGAATAATTAACTATTTTGTATAACATTTGATAAATCAGTCATTTTGGAAGGGGTGTGTGAATGTGTTAAAATTTTATATGTTTGTGGCCGGGCGCGGTGGCTCAAGCCTGTAATCCCAGCACTTTGGGAGGCCGAGGTGGGCGGATCACAAGGTCAGGAGATCGAGACCATCCTGGCTAACACAGTGAAACCCCGTCTCTGCTAAAAAATACAAAAAACTAGCCAGGCGTGGTGGCGGGCGCCTGTAGTCCCAGCTACTCGGGAGGCTGAGGCAGGAGAATGGCGTGAACCCGGGGGGTGGAGCTTGCAGTGAGCCGATATCGCGCCACTGCACTCCAGCCTGGGGCACAGAGCAAGACTCCGTCTCAAAAAAAAAAAAAAAAATTTTATATGTTTGTGTGTGTGTGTATGTGTGTATTAGTATCAGTAAGCTTGAGTATCAGTTTGGTTGTGAGGCCCGTATTTTACATTTACGTGCCTTAACTGTATAAAAATCTAGTGAAAGCCCAAAAGGCCATAGAGGAGGGAAATTCATAAATGTGATTTTTCTTTTGCCTGATTTGAAATTTAATGGAAAGATCAAATGAGATCCAGACAGGAAGCCTGTGCAGAGAGATAAAACCAGTGTCTCCTGAGGTTTCTTCTGGCTTGTTTATTAATTGTCTGAGTCCCTCATCAGTCCTAAGAGGAGTTAGGATAGGAAAGAGAAGGAAGGGAACCTCTGTCACAAGCTGGAGTGGAGCCAGAGGTCCCGGAATGGTGGCAGAACTCATATCTACATGATACAATCAGAGGGGCCCTTTGCTTTAACACAAAAATTGGAGACCAGATTTAACCCTAATCACTATGGCTCTGAGGCCACCATGGGTAGGAAAGATGGAATCCATACAATCTTAGGACTTGGGGTGGAAAAGAATTTGGATGTAATCCAGTTTATCCTCTCCACAGCATTTTTTTTGGGAGGGGCGTGGGGAATAGAGTCTTAGTCACCCAGACTGGAGTGTAGTGGCACAATCTTGGCTCACTGCAACCTCTGCCTCCTGGGTTCAAGTGATTCTTGTGCCTCAGCCTCCCGAGTAGCTGGGACTACAAGCATACACCACCACACCCAACTGATTTTTGTATTTTTAGTAGAGACGGGGTTTCACCATATTGGCCAGGCTGGTCTCGAACTCCTGACTTCAAGTGGTCCACCTCTGCCTCCCAAAGTGCTGGGATTACAGGTGTGAGCCACCACATCCAGCTCTCCACAGCATTAGTGATCAGATTTTGAGGGGAGGGGTCAGTCTGTTGAAGTATAATTTAGGTATAGTAAAAGATTTACCTTTTTTTTAAACAATTATTTATTATTATTATTATTTTTAATAGAGATAGGGTCTTGCTATATTGTCCAGGCTGGTCTTGAACTCCTGGACTCAAGCAATCCTCTTGCCTTGGCCTCCTAAAATGTTGCGATTATAGGCGTGAGCCACCACGCTTGGCCAAATTCACCTTTTTAGTGTACAGTAACACTTTCATGTGTGTAACTGACACTATAATCAATATACAAAATAGTCTATCATCCCAGAAATTGCTTCATGTTCTTTTATAGTCTATTTTCTCAGCCCCTGGCAATTACTGATCTATTTTCTGTCCCTACAGTTTCATCAGTTCCAGAATGTCATATAAATGGAATCAAACAGTATGTAGTTGTTTGAATCTGGCTTCTTTCACTTTGCATGATGTATTTGAGATTCTTTTTTTTTTTTTTTTTTAAGATGGAGTTTCATTCTTGTTGCCTAGGCTGGAGTGCAGTGGTGTGATCATGGCTCACTGCAACCTCCGCCTTCTGGTTTCAAGTGAGTCTCCTGCCTCTGCCTCCTGAGTAGCTGGGATTACAGGCACCTGCCACCACGCCCAGCTAATTTTTGTATTTTTAGTGGAGACGGGGTTTTACCATGTTGGCCGGGCTGGTTTTGAACTCCTGACCTTGTGATCCACCTGCTTTGGCCTCCCAAAGTGCTGGGATTACAGGCATGAGCCATTGCACCTGGCCAAGATTCATCTTTGCTTTTTGTGTGTGTCACATCTTCTAACCTTAATTCTTTTTTTTTTTTTTTGAGACTGGGTCTCACTCTGTCACTCAGGCTGAAGTAGGGTGGCAC